AAATAAAAGCCTAATTTTACTTGGTTTATTGAATCAGATTCTAATATCTGTTGCCCTTTGATTTCAATCCCTTCAATTTGATAAGCATTACCAAGTACCAATGATGGCCCAGGAGCAGGGACAATGAAGACCAATGAAGACCACGGCTTTGCCTATGTGCCAGCAAAGCCGTGGAGGCCATTTTACCCGATCTGCTATTCCATACATAACCCTATACTGTATACTTTATGGATCAATAAAAAATTTACAATTTTCAATTACAAACCTGTGTTTTCTATCAAAATTACTTCTTGCGTTAATTTTGGGACACCCTTTACATGCACCTCTATATGTGTCTCCAGCTGATTGGAAGGACAGTCACTAAAATATTAACAGCGATGAGATTCCAGGTAGCATTCATTCTTTTTTCTTTTGGTCCCCCAAACTTTTTCTTTTTCTTTTTTTTTTAAACAACAGGTTTCCACCACTTTTCAAAAACCCCCCAGAAACCCAGTAATGTTTTTTCTTAATCATACCTGGCCATGTATACTTCCAAGTGCCTCACCTTTAGTTAAAATTTTTTTAAATTTATTTTTCAATTACAGTTGAAATACAATTATTATATTAGCTTAGGGTGTACAGCATCATGATTAGACATGTATATACCTTACAGAGTGACCCCCCTCAATAAGTCTAGTTTATAACAAAGAGCTTCGTCTGTCAACGCTGTGCAAACACAGGACTTCGACTCTGTGCACAGAACCAGCGCTCATCCTGTTCGGGCATTTCCTTCGCGCACTTGAACCAAGTCGTAGGAGCCCTCTGGCCGTGACCACAGTCAGAGGAAGCCGGCAGAGGGCAGGCAGCTCATGGACGGGGGGAAAACATACCTGATTTCAAGTCTCTGTCTGCCAATGGCCCCTTCTGGCTTCCTGCAGTGACACGGAGAAGAGATAGAAGCTCGCTTAGTGAGTGGCGACAGTCTTTGAAAACATTGCGTTGCAAAGCAGAGAGCAGCTCTGTCCACCGTGGGAGCCACTTAAAAGTCTAACTTAAATCAATTAAGATGAAGCCAAATGGAACGTGGTGTTCCTCGGTCTCAGCGGCCACATGACAAGTGCTCCATGGCCACACGGGGCGGGTGGCTACCGCCGCGGACAGCACAGCCATGAGCCATTCCCACCACCACGGAAGATGGTGTTAGTGCTGACATCGAGGCCACTAAGACTCAACTGGGGTGTCAGGGATCGTGGGGAGGAGACCATAAATGCCCTGTAGGGCGAGGGTGAGGGTGAAGGCGAGGGCAAGGGCGAGGTGATCAGTCTTTCACCTGACAATAGTCTGATGCATCCTCGGATTTTAGAATTTATCTTATTTCTATACCAGAGATCAACAAACTGCAGTCATGGGCCAAACCCGACCCACCACTTGTTTTTGTAAATAAAGTTTTATTGATACGCAGTCGTGTCCATTTGTTTAGACATTGTCTTGGGCTGCTTCTGTGCTCCTATAGCAGAGCCCAGTAGGTGGTCTACAAAGATGAAAATAGTTACACTCTGGCCGTTCACAGGTGGCTGACGCCTGGTCCATACCGTTGAGGGTGAAGCAGGGGGAGGGGTTATTGATTTTTATTGATGATTGAAAACCTACAGTTTAATGCTCCCCTCCACGGCCTCTCAATGTCTTGGGTCTCCACTGCCTACTTGCCTGTGAGCTCGGCGGACACGATGGTGCCGTGGGCAGCCAGGGGGATGCCGTGGCCCTGCAGCCTCGCCCGGAGTCCCTGCTGCAGCAGCTCCTGCTCCAGGCCCCGGTCCAGCGAGCGCAGGGCTAGCAGCAGGAAGTGCAGCCGGAAACGCACAAGGACACTGGAGTTCCCGTCCCTGCAGCGAGGAGAGAGGCCTGTGGAGGGAGGGCTCCCCTCGCTGGAATCTCCCGCATCTGGGTGTCCACCAAGGTTCCTTTAGCCCCAGGGAGGCCCCGCTCACCTGTAGCTCAGCACCGTGCAGCCCACGCAGCTGGCCTCCAGCTCTGTCTTCCTAAAGCTGCTGACAAACTACAGCGGAAACAACAGCGGCAAATGTTGAGACCACAGCACGGGCACCCGCCCCCCGAGGAAGCCTGTCCCATCCCATGTGGGAAGCTGTTGGGGGGGGGCGGGCGGGAAGCACCTCCTCTTAGACCAGTGCATGCGGCAACTTCCCAGAGCCACATGATGACAGGGGAGGACATTTCAAAGTTACTCATATGAAGACATTGCTCCATGGAAGCAATAAAACGGGGTCCATCCACACACTAGACTATTTCTCAGCCGTGAGAGGAGTGAGGACACTTGCTACAGGTGGATGGACCTTGTAAACATGATGCTCATTGAGAGAAGCCACACACAGAGAGGCCACAGCGTGTGAGTCTGTTTATGAGACACGTTTAGATCAGGCAGAGCCACAGAAAGTGGTTGGTGATTGCCAGGGGCTGGAAGCAGGGGTGGTGATGGGGACAGGGCTTGTTTTGGGGTGATGGATGCACCAGTCCATGCCCTCATTGCCTGCATCTATAGCTGTACTGTCTCATAGAACATTCCACAAAGTCCCAGAATGTTCTACATCGGCCCCGCCCCACATGGCAGCCACCATCCACACGAAGCTACTGAGCATTTGAAACGTGGCTGGTGGTACTGAGGACATGATTTCTACCTTTTACCTAATTTTAATTCATTCATGTTTAAATTAATATATAATTTAAACAGAAATTTGTGCACTCGGGGGGTCCCTCAGCCTGGCCTGTGCCCTCTCGCAGTCTGGGACCCCTCGGGGGATGACCACCTGCTGGCTTAGGCTTGCTCCCCAGGGGATCGGGCCTAAGCTGGCAGTCAGACATCCCTCTGGCAGCCCGGGAGCCCTCGGGGGATGTCCATTTGCCAGTGGAGAGCAGGCCTAAGCTGTAGTCTGACATCCTTAGTGCTGCTGAGAAGGTGGGAGAGGCTCCCACCACCACCGCTGTACTGGCAGC